CCTTCCAAGTCATGAAGACGAGGAATCAAATGGCTTTTCTTTTCTGATTGTGGAGTCCTAGTCAATTCCAAGCTCTGTTCTTGCTTCTTATTTTCTTTCCCCTTCCTGTTTTCTTGCCACTTTTTCCTACATTCAGTGGTTCTCTCATTTCGAGAGGGTGCACTACATACCTTTTCCATGTTTCTTGCACTTTCTTTCTTATCACCTTTGTTTCTATTCCTACCATGGAAGTCAAACTTATGCTCTTCATATTCTTTGGAATCTTTATCAAGCTTATAAAATAAGTTTCCCCGGATCCTCATTTCCTCAATTTCATCAAAACCAGGGTCTTCCGTGTTTGGAGGCGCATATTTCGCCATTTCTTCCACATCCTCTTCCTCATTACCAGGAAAAGCCTTTGTCTTTGATCCCCTCTCTACATTTCCCCTCCATACATCTGCCAAGTCTGAGGACACTCTCCAAGTGTCACTATCCATAAGTTCTACTCTGCACTTTCCCAAGCGTGCAGGTCCATCAGAAAACAATGGTGAAGGAGAAAAACACCCATTGTTGAAAGTTACAAAAGGTTCTTTCTTATGGGTATTCTTAGCACATGAAGATTGGAATAGTCGAAGAGCAGTTCTTGAACAGAAAAAGCCAATCGTTGGGATGAAATCAAAGTGAGCGACAATGACGCACACCCTTCTCATAGACAGTGGCGGAACCAGAACTTTATTTGAGCGGGTGCTGAGAAAGACAAGAAATATATGATTTTTTTGTTGTACACGTCGGTGTACAAGTTTTGTACACGTCCCATAGTTGTATCATTGTATGTGTAAATAGGCAAATAATAAAAAAATAAAAAAAAATTGAAAATAAACACATATGATTATCTTAATTCGAAGTGTTAGAAAATTTCCTTGTTGATGTATAAAAAAAAGTGTTAGAAAATTTCATGTCTATATCTAAATAGCAAGATAACTACTCTGGGAAATAAATTCAATACGAGGTTGTTTCTCCTTTTTATTCTCTCCATAGAAGTGTTTGAAGACTGCCCAATCAGTATTAGGAATTTTAATATGCTTAAGCTAACAAATCATACAACAATAAACCCATAAAATAATTACATAATCCTGAATTTATATGTTGTAAGTACTAGTTATTTATTAGTTAATAAATACAGAGTATATATAACATTAATTGCAGCGCGCGCGCACACATATAAATAAATATATATCCTAATTCAAAAATAAAAAATAAAAAATTACAAGGTTGCCGAACATATAAGATCAAAGATTCAAAAAACCACTTATTACTTATACACCTAATTCACAACAACACATTCATAAATTGATTAATACAGAATTATAAAATCATTAAATTACATTAAGTAAAATAGTAAAAGAATAAAACTACAAAACTGATCGAAGGAAAATTACCATCACCGCAACCTCAAGAGATACAACAAATACACAAGTCAGTGAGTCACGGCTTATGGGGCTTCTGGCTTCTTCACCAAATGTGTAGGTAGATTAGGCGACGCCTCTTAAATCTTCACATTTTCAGGCCTGGAGATGAAATCACACCGGCCAAAGGTTTAATGGCGGAATTTCACAAGCTTTGATTGAGCCTCTTCGTTTTATGACTCCATAGTTATCGTATTAACTGTGTATTGTCGTTTACTCCATGTTGGGTGTCGTTTTATTTTAGTGTTTTTTTGTCTTGCAAACGGCACCGTTTAACTTAAACTACAAAAAAAATTAGAACAGAAAACAGGTTACATCGTGAGAAATAGGCTGTAACCTAAGGGTGGGCAAGTGGGCAACGGGTACAGGAATCGCAAGTAGGGCCGGGCAGGGGCGGAGCCAAGGGGGTCAGGATGGTCAGACGACCCCGTTGAAAGTTCAAGAATGTAGAGCTTTGAAATACTTTCGATTTGATATATTATGGGTCTCGTAACTCATTACGCGTAAAAAATTATGACTTCTGAAAAAATCAGCATCATCTTAATTTGAAATAAGCAAAATTTGATGTGTGACGTTAATTATATTCTTAAATTTAAAAATAAAACACCTTATTCAGTCATTAGTTGTGAGAACATTATGATACATTACATATATATCAATACATTAACCGAAAAATGGTCATTAAACTATCATTTATCTCAGCTGCATATGAAACATTTAACTCAAGTATTGTGTAATAACTATCCATCATTTTGATACAGTATACTTCGTATAATTTTATAAATTCCGACCCTCCTCACGCATTTTTCTGGCTCTGCCCCTGGGGCCGGGTAATATAGATTCGGGGTGGGTTACGGCCAGATCCCAATTTTAGAAAACCTAAACGGTTCGGGGTGAGTCCTTTAAAACTTAGGAACCGAACGGTACCTAAAATTTGGATAAACGAGTACCCGGACCGAACCATTTACAATATTATTTTAATAAACTCTATTATATTTAATATACTAACATACATAAGCTCTTTATGTTTTTGTGTCTAGACAAAGACTCTCAATTACATAAATTTTTAATCTATTAAAAAGAGTTTCAAAGTACATATAACTCTTCATCAATTCTCTATCCAAATGCATCAAGTTTTCTTTCTTTAATACTCCGTATTTTTTTTACTCAATGAAGTGTGACATATTCATTCAATTATCTTAATTTTACTTATATTTTGAGATTAAATAAGTTTTAAATTGTTTTCTATCAACAAATATGTATATTAACTAGTTGATTTCCTGACTTTATCGTTCTATCTTTTTAGTTTATGGATGATGATGTCTAGATATCTACAGATGAAATTTGATGTTATTTAATTTGGGTGATTGTGAACTATTTAATTTATAGATTTGTACTAAGATATTTTGTTAACTAACTTAGAATGTTGGTTTATATTTTTATTTTGAATTTTTATTATAGTATGGTGAAAATGGTCTACAGAATAATTTATAAAGTAAAGCACAAATTATAATCATAAACACACGTCATTGTTGTTGATAGTCATTTTCTACATACCTACTCTATCGTGAAATAAATATTATTGATAATACTTAAGGAAAAATACTCACGAATTAGATATTAAATATCATGAATTTAAGATTTTTAATTTAAAAAATTAAATATCATTTATTCTTATAAAACTAATAAACTTTTTACTGTAAAAAAACTTTTGTGAAGATAAAATCATCACAAATTAGTGACAAAGTTAATAAAAAATAAAATAAATAAAAATCTATAATTACTATGTATATTTTAGGTCTTAGATTGATTATTTTCAATTATTCAAGGCCTATATCGACATATTCTATCTTTTACGTCCCTTATAGATACTACACCGATCTTTTAGGTCATGGAATGATAAAATTCTCTTTTTTCTATGCTATACTTTAAAATATGTCATTGAGATTAGTTCGATCACCCGAATGAATTACATATAAGACTTTTATATTTATGATGAAGAAGTGTATAAAATTTTGAAAACACATTTGTAAACAACTTTCTTTGATGTATTACATGACTATTCCTCGTGAGTCTTCTCAATAATAGCTTATTCCACGACCGAGTAGCTAAGTAGAAAAAAATTATCAACAATAACTTATAATTATGATAATAAATTGTATTATACTTTAAATTTTAACTTTCTAAACAACTTTCATTGAATTTAAGAGTTGTACGTAGTACTACTATTAAATTTAATTTCACAAATATTAACGTAAAGGAACATATAGTGAGAATGATCAAAATTCAGGGGTAGGTAACTTATTTTTGAAAATGCAAGGTTGCATTAATAATTATGACATAATCTCAGGGGGCTAATAATGATTTTTCCAAGCAAAAACGCTGGAAAACTTGATTTTTGCACCCTAGTGCTAGAAAAATTTTCTTAAATTAAATAAAAGTGACGGGAAAATTGCCAAATTGATCCTCATAGTTTATCAAAAATGATTATTAAGTTCTCATATTTAGCCAACATAGCTGACTGGTGGGTGAGATGACCTGACTACTATTGCGACAGTAATAACGGGGGGGGGGGCATAATAACGTCATAAAAAAGTTAGAGACATTGTTGGTGTATACCTTTTTGTGTACACCTTTTGTACATTCTTTTATTTATGGGGATATTCACACACGAATTGCATGTATGCACCAACAAAAACTGGAGGGTGTGCAAAAGGTGTACACCAAAAGAGTGTACACCTAGTTTTTCCAAGAAGTTATGCCTTTTCTTTTTTAGAGTAGAGAAGTTAGGCTTTTCCGGTAGAGAGAAAAACATATACTACTCCGTAGGGTTGGACTCGGGTCAAGCCCAGGCCCGGTGGGTTGCAGTACTAATAAAGTGAAGCCTGCTACCGACCCAGTTTGATTCAGCACCGGCCCGATCCGGCCCAAACAATACTGGTTCCGGGTCGGGCCTACCATCTAATTTAAAAAAATTGAAAAAGCAGCTATTAGGCCTGGGCCCGATCAGTCCCAAAAAATCAAACCCGAAGCTCAATCCGTTCTACCCACGGTCCGGATCTTGGGTTGGTACTGGTATCGGAAACTGATCCCGAGCCGATACAAACAATAGCAATCTCGGGTCAGGCCGCTTGGGGCCACTCTATTCCTTTTGATGCACAATTTTTGACCAAAAACAGTAAAGGTATGTTTGCAAAAAAAATTAAAAAAATTATTTTCAACTTTTGGCTGAAAGAGCAGGAAGACTATTCTTCTAGTGAGACTTTTGTTTAAATTAAACACTTAAAAGCTAAAAGTTGAAATATGCTATTTACTTTTTCTATTACACAAAAAATACATATTACTTGAACACTTACACTACCAACTTAAACTTGTCAAAATCAATTTTTTCTCAAAACACTACCAATTTTATTATTAAGCACTTTTTCGAAAATCAATTTAAAAAGTGAATTTTTTAAAGCAAAAGCAATTGCAAACACTCCCAAAGTGTATAATAATTTTCACTTTATTTATTACTCGGTATACCCTTAAACATTCTTACGAAGAATATTAGAATATGCTTCAGAAGTTTCAATATAGAAAAATTGAGGAAGAAAAATAAGAATTGTACATTAATAATACAAAAGAGACATATTCAGGACCTTTTGATATGTCTTACACATAGCACCAGAGTGAGTATAAAAAACAAGCTTATGTGCAAGAAGTCAAACTATATACATACTACGTAATATTCTCTCGCACTCTGGATCCTGCGGTAGCACATAATTGTCTCTATACTCACATTACTTCCGTTCACTGAAAATCCCAACTGATTTTCGGAAAACTAACTTGTAAGTGCTATGACACCAAACAAATAAAAAGGTAGTCAAGGATGCATCTTCAAGAAATTCAGTTAGTCTGGCAAATAATATGTCACCTTGAAAAGCCTACCATAAGTCCCTTCCTGATTACTCCGAGGTCCGAGGTTAATATTTACTGTCACCTTGAAACGAAAGCACCGGCAAATAATTCTTTTTCCATCATTGTGTCTCTGTCTCTATCAGTCCGAGGTTCCTAACAAGAATCTTTGACATTCTCGCTTTCATAGCACTCACCATTGGATAAAGCCAAATCTTGATCACCTTCACCTGGAAAACTGCTCACACCATTAGCTCCTTTGGTATCAGTAGTCTTCTCAGAACATAGATGGTGTTCATTTGCACCATTATTTGTGACTGGTGTATTCAAATGTGAGGTGAGCTGTACAGTAGGTTCAGAGATTTCAGTAGGTTGTAAAGTCACTTTGCTAACTGCATCTTCAGTGCTACATTGGATGGAACGATAAGAAGAACAATGTCCGGGATCAGCGAAAACCTCTTTCCCACTGATGTAAGTGGGCATTGCAATGTCAGATGTCTCTAAACTGGAAATGGCATCACCCTTAGAAGCCTCTGGAACAGAACAAGCCTCACCTCGGTCTTCTTCATCTTTACTTTGAGATGATTCAGAACAAAGTTGTGAGATAGTCTGAACACTGATACCACACGCATCAGGATCTGATACTGATTTATCTGTCGATTTTTGTACCACTTGCGCAGAAGCTTCAACAAATACCTCACAGGATTCAATGAGACTGTGTGCTGAAGACGGGATACTTTTTCCAGGACTGTCCATTACAGCATTTTGCGTATCAAGTATACTATCATTTTCACCTTCTGTAGAGTGTCTTAAGTTGGCTGAAGATCCAGCAAACTCATTACTTACCTCAGATTTGAATGCTGTGATCTCTTTATTGAGAAAATTGATAGCAAGAGAACAATCTTGAGGACCAGTTTCAACCTTCGCGTGCATTTCACCAATACTTTGCAAACCAGTGTCATCACACTCATTTGCATCATACTTAGCAGAGCAAACCATTTCTGATGTTCCCATCGGTGCAGGTAATGCAGTAGGTTTTTCAAAATCAGCAGTCCTTAGACCTAAGCAAACAAGTCGAAATTACAAATCAAAGGCTGACAACCAGAGCATTAAATTACATTTTTTCCTCTAGGAGGAAATGAGTAAATAAATAAAAAGAACCTATGATCACCTTCTGATGCCCCTTGCTTTACAATCTGCTTCTGTAGCATATCTACCCCTGGAAATGCCAACACGTTGATAGATTTCATTTCCTGCTTGTGTGATTCCTCAAGCTGGTTGAAACCAAAAACTACAGTCCAGGTATGAATATGCTCGGATATAGCAGGAATAATCAGCTTCTTAACTTTTAAGTTGTGGAGGACCTGAACATAGCCGAGCATGAAAAAACATCAATACACATATCAGGGATTGAAAGGTAGGGGAGTGGAACTCTCGGGTTCAGTACAGTTTTTCCGGTTTTCGGTTCAGTCCAGTTTCAAACAGGTAGGGGGGAAGATTTGAATTAAAACCAAACTATGGTTGGTTTGGATTAACTACGTTTGAAAAAAAAAACATTACAAAACTAAAACCAAGTTGCATATGATTCAGTTTTGGTTCGGTCAAACCAAACAAAAATGTCAACCCCTAATTGAAACAATGGTGTAGGATGCCTTCTTCTGAACTTGATATTTATGATCTCTGACAGGTGATAGACTGATAGCATATGTAGTGCAACTAAATACAATGCATGAATTCACCGAGAAGGATATTCCTTTGATTCCTAGGGATGCAACAGCTTATTCAATGTTGTTTCAACTAACTTATCCTATATATAATACAGTAGTAATAAAGAAATTGTTGCCGTGTTGTGGCAGGACATGACTTAACATGACAGTATTTTCCAACCTTGACCATAACTACTCCTATTTAGGGAACAAAAAACATGACAGCCTTATTTTGGAATTTCAAAACATTTTTACTCCTATTTTAGGAATTTTCCGTAGTAATAATGTAATATAGTGAATCAAGTTACAAAATACAGAGCATGATATTATTAAGGTCGGAACATATTATTAGTTCATTAAAAATGCAACAGCTGAGATTCATGCATACCATCTCAATAGCAGATAATAGCCGCCGACACATCCCTTGACGCCTATAAATATGGCGTGTCCCAATAAATGGCATTTCTGCAAGTTGTATGCCATGGATCCTGATAAAACAGCAACGTATAATCCCCATTTACTAATGTTAATACATACAAAAAGTAAAGCTAACGCAGATCCTGTAACTCATGGGACATGTTTGATTAGAATTTATTTTTTTTATTAGTAAGTGCCAAAATGTACAGCTAACATGGGTGAATAAGAATCTGGCTAAGAAGTCTAGTCATTTTAGACATCGACAAGGAAAATGAACTAGTAAGGTAGACAAGGATGACGTAAGGCCTCCTTAAAGACATACAGAAATGCCACATCACCTAAATGCAGAAGTCAACTAGACAACTATACATTGACACAATGCTAGTTTCCAAAATTAAAAATGCGGTTAACAATAAATGTGGTAAAGAAAACTCATGAATTAGAGAAACCACCAAAACAAAACTCAGAGTGAATAAGAGAAATCAATAAAACTATGCCAAGTAGGGAGGCAATAGAATACTATCAAGTAAATCAGGACTTATACTTGGTATTCATTTGCATGGAGAAAGCATATGCTCAAGTTTCTAGAAATGCCCAACTGAAAGTGATGGAGAAGAAACGCATATGTGTGACATTTATTGAGGTAAAAAGTGGCAAGACTTAGTATCAGGCCCGAAAGGGATGAGGAAAGAAGACTTGGTCCATTCCAGATACGCGTAGGCCTCATTAAAATCAAATAATGCATAAGGGTAAGGGGTGTTTTCCCCACGCCTCAAGGCCCTCCACACCTTGGAGGCAAAAGCCTTTTAGTGCATGCTATTTGGTGATGTCCCTGTGACATTATTCTCGTGGATGAATTTTTAAACACGAATTATGAAGATCAACATTAAAGTCTAAACTAACTAAGATAAACATATCTAAGAGAGATTATATGGAATGTAGATTAAAATACCATAAGAAGGAAGGAAACCATTTCAGATTTTTGAGAGACGTTTTAAGTTGACTTGCACAGAGACAATTTAAAAATGATCTCAAGACAGTAGAGAGGTTGTTTTGAATTGCAAAAGGGAAAAAGACCTAATCTAACCAACAGAGAACAGCATACCTCAGTGATGCTGCACAAACAATCTCATCACCCCTTTCCAAGATTGCTGTGTAGAACCCAGAATAACTAAGACGGCTAAAATTTGACCTGCAGGAGCAAAGGGAAAAAAGATGGGAAAATGGAAACTAATAATCCATAGGGCTGGGACCGGTTCGATTCTTACTCAAAATGAGTGGAACCGTTATAAAAGTTTTAACTAATGAAATCGGTTCGGTTCCTAAATAAAAATTCAAGAACCGTTATGGAACCGAACCGGTAGTAAACGGTTCGGTTCTTCCTTTTACCGGTTCCTAGAATAATTTTTCTCATCTAAGAATTAACACATAATTTTAAACACGTCGAAAATTCAAAACACGAGTATTATAATTTTATTTGAAGCTCTAATCACTTCAAACATTGATGGAGTATATGGCCCGGGAACCCCTGACCCACATACTCCTACTAATCTATCACAAGCCCAACAAGCCCAAGGAGCTCAGGAGGCCCAAGATTCGGCGGCCCAAGTGTCAAGAAGCCCACAGTACACACAGGGGTGCCTTCAGCCTCCTTGGCCGAAGGCTCCAAAACTCACAGAACCGCCATGTTCGACCATGCGAAGCTCAAACATAACTAATGAACTTTGAACACTTAATAGAACAAAAGTGATTTAAATTTTCATGTAATAAATGAAACATTAAAAATCATTGTAGTGTCGGAGCGATGAAGGTTACTCGTCATCATAGTAGCAAGAATAGGACGCCTACTTCAAGTCGCTCAAAACATAAACAAAAAAAGACATTGAGTTTGCATGTATAGATATAAAAAAACATTATTACATTCTATTGATTCATAATAAATCTAATAATTAGAAATATCATGAAAATAGTAAAGTAAAATATGTGCAATCAACTACAAGTTATTTGGGTTATTTTATATTTATAAAATTTATGTGATGGAACAAAACTTGATTTGTAGAAAGGAGTTTAATGTAGTATATCAACCTCATGTACAATATTTATTACTTCTTTTCCGTTGATTAAATTAGAATTGTTAGTTAAATATCTTATATTGTTTTATTGTTGTTGTTGTTGTTGTGGTGGTTATTATTGCTATTATATTATTATTATTATTATTATTATTATTATTATTATTATTATTATTGTTACTACTACTAATATTATTTTATTTTTTATTTTTTTAATAACGGTTCCTTAACGGTTCCAAGCACATATTTTTTATAGGAACCGGGAACCGAACCGTTATAACCCGCTTCGGTTCGGTTCCTACAAATGAGGCATTAATTGTTAACGGTTCGGTTCCTAGATGTTGTTAACGGTTCGGTTCCAATCGGTTCTACGGTTCCCGGTTCCAAAATCTCACCCCTAATAATCCAACCTTTTAGCGGTCTTCTTTTAATAGTCCCACCTTTTCGTTATTCATGAATAATCCAACCTTTGCACCTCATCTTTATTCACTAGTCCCTGCCCGGTTGATGACCTGCTATTCCAAATTATTTTCTTCATTTTCATTTTCATTTACCCCAGTGCCGCAAAGGCTCCCACCTACGGTGGGGTAAGGGGGGGTCGGATGTACGCAGTCTTACCTCTGTACTAAAGCACAGAGAGACTGTTTCCAGATGACCCACAGTGAAAATCGCGTCCAAAATTGCATGGGCTGACTGCTACTTCATAACAAAGAAGCGCAGACAGTTTAGTGAGCCATTTTGCTTTATTCCATCATATTCTCAAGCCAAAAAATAATGAATCTCTGGCTCCATTGCAAATGATGGAAAGTTTCCAAGTTATTTTCTTATCTTTGAAAAATATTATCTTTGTGAAAGGTGGAATATATGGTATAATAGTTTGCAGAGATAAGAAAATAACTCGGAATAGCAGGTCATCAACCGGTCGGGGACCAATGAATGAAGATGAGGTGCAAAGGTTGGATTATTCATGAATAACGAAAAGGTCGGACTATTAAAAGAAGACCGCTAAAAGGTTGGATTATTAATTTCCATTTTCCCAAAAAAGATTCCAATAGTTAGTATTCAAAAGTAAAAACCAATTATGGAATCCACCAAAGTTCTGAGCCAAGAGTACTAAGCAATACAAAACACAAGACATCTAAAGATTGCTTTGCAGAGCTCACAAAGTACGTTGTGGGTAATGTCATATGCTTGAAAGCATAAACACACATTTATCAAGATGGCAATGGTCAAATAAGCCTTTCTACCTTTGCAAAAAGCACCTTACCTTGTACCGCAATAAGTGTAGGTGTGTCGCATAAACCAGCCAACTCATGGAAACAATGGATTAGGTCATTTGATCTAATCAACAAGTTCTTCCAGGTTCTTCTTATCTCCTTTATGTTACTTTGTAAATACTCACTATCTGTTCATTTTCTTTATTAATTTCTGCAACCTTCCTTTGGTGTTGACTCTGTTCACTTAATCTAAAATACCGATGTATATGATGTCAAGTTAAAGTCGGACAATCTTAATTTTTCCTCTCTTTATTTAAAGTTTTTTTTTCATCATTTCCAATGGAGGTAAAGACTCACTATTTTTTTGGCTTGGGAAAATGATGGAATAAAGCAAAATGGCTCATTAAACTGTCTGTGCTTATGTTTTATAAACCAGCAGTCAGTCCATGCAATTTTCGGCGCGATTTTCATCATGGGTCATCTGGAAACAGTCTCTTTGTGCTTTAGTACAGGGGGTAAGGCTGCGTACATCCGACCCCCACTTAACCCACCATAGGTGGAGGCCTTTACGGCACTGGGGTAATGTTGTTGTTTATTTAAAGTTTTGCAGGACCAAAGAGAAGATGAACAAATTTGAAGAACCTGATGAATGGTCTCAAATCTGGACCTAGAGATATGATTGTTGGGTTTTTGAAAGACATAATTGAACTGATTTGGTGATTTAAATAACGACCTAAGTCATATGGTGTCCTAGACTCCTAGCCCTTCCACACAAATCTTGAGCAAGTATACTATTTTTCAGTAGAAAAACTTTTTAGGGTGGAGTATAAGGAATTAACTCATTTAAGATTCATGATTCTTGTGTTTTCACTTCTTTGTTTGTTTATATCTCGCTCTCTGATGGATCTGAAGAAAATTACTCTTCTAAGTAATGAGGAGAATGTTCCACCGTCAAATAAGATTGTGAAGCATATCTGCTCCTTCCACAAAATTCATGATTAAGTATATAATTTTCCAGAAGTACTTTATGAAGTGGTGTGGTAGGATTCAATATCCATGTTTCTTGTGCTTCACTTTTTAAAATAATCCATCAGTTGAAATAATTCTCGTATTTCACTACTTTTTTGTTGGTGTCCAGCTTTCTGGTGGATCGATGCGTTTGAAGGAGTTGCACTAAAACGAGGAGGAGGTTCCTTTCTCAAAGAAAGAAGATTAATAAGAAAAAGAAATAAAAAATAAGTAAATCAGAAGCTGGGGAAGAAGATGATGGTGTCCACTTGGGAAAGAAGAACATGTGGACAATGTTAAAACACACGCAGGAATAACCTGGTGAAGAAGGTTATATTCAAGTCAAATTATCTAATTGATCAACATCCATGTTTCTTGTGTTTCATTTTCACTTTTGTTTGTTGGCGTCCGGTTCTTGGATGGAACAATGGGTTTGAAGGAAGCTTCAGTGTCGAAGTAACATGAAGAGGAGATTTTCTCTAGAAGGAAGAAGATAAACAAGAAAAAAGGGAAAGAAAGGGAAATGAAAGACGCCAGACTTAGGGAAGAATATGATACCCTCCACTTGGGAAAGATGAACATCTAGACACTGATAGAACAGTAGAACACAAGATCAGTGTTTATGAGTTGGCACTTCTATGTGACACTTGTTACTCCAGCACAAGGGTGTGTGTATCTGACTGATTGCAAAATAGAAAGCCTTATCTAGACCTTATTAAACTACTCCCTCCGTCCCGCTAAGATTGTCCCATTTACCTTTTCGGGAAGTCCTACTAAGATTGTCACATAACGTATTTGGTAAAGATTGTGTGGCTCTAAATCATTCTAACTTTATTCTTACTTTATCAATTTAATATCAACCTCACAAACCTACTTTTCTTAATAATTGTGCCACCTTCTCTCGTCCCAATCTTAGTGGGACGGAGGTAGTATGTCTTAACTAGCTGCAGTTATTAAAAAATATGTGCATAAAATTGCCTGAAACTTACCCACAGTTATAAAGGACATTATGGATTATATTGATACCACTTCTCCGGTCCACTATGGGCAAAAAACACTCATCCATGATAGACAGGGCGACAGCCAGCTTTGAGTTGCACTCTACTCTTTGAGAAAAGTCAAAATGTGAGGTGTCGGAATCTAAATTTGTTCGTTGGATGAGAGACCAAGAGAATCCTGCTTCTAATTCATGCTTTACTCCAACAATCTTCCACAATTGGTCATAGATCTACATAAGCAAGATAGCATTAGTTTCATTTTGCACACCTCCTTTTCCAAGGATCTTCTTGAAGCTATGATTCTGGTAGACTAAATTACAAGCTTGCAACTGAGTGTACCCATGACTAACGATGAAATCCCTGAACCCAAGTTGTTGCTTAGTTCTTATTTTTCATATAAAGAGAATGATAATGATCTCCAGAGTTTCATTTACTCCCTATAGATTTATTTTTGACTAACAATTCTAAAAGTATACAAAAGATGCAACCAAATTTGATTCTAAATCAGAAGCGTTTGATGAAACAGGTAATTACTAATGAGACTGTCCTTTTAATTTGACAATGCATACCAACTGCCAGCAAGTACAAGAACAATTCCTTAAGAATTAAGATGATGCACATTTCTGCCAAAGTAAAAAAATGTAATCTGAAAATACCTAGTAATCTGATATGCATCTAAATAGCAATACCTCTTGGCATGTCTGCCCACAAAAAGAAGTAAATGAAGTTTTGGTCTTCACAGGTAAAACCTTATTAGTCTTCAAATCTTGTCTGCATAATTTGTGATCTGTGAAGTATGTAGAATTTAGTAGACGGAAAACAGAGATTAAAGTAAAACTCGTAAAGAACAATCCTTAAACATTAAACCAAATTTCCCAACACGATATCATCTTACATTTTTTCTCACAGAGGATGCACAAGTGAAGATCAGTGGTACCAACATTGTCTTCCACCGGACTTTCATCAGCAATACCACAAAATTTGCAAACACAATAAGGACAGTGCCAATCACCATGAGGAAGCATCTACAAGGAGCAGAAGGCAGTCATCACAAAAATGCTACAAAACCAATAGTACTCCATTCCAAATTGTAAGATGTACTTGCATTTCGCAAGGTGTTTGAGAAAACATGAGAGATGTGATTGTTTTTTACATAAGCTCCTTTCCAAATTGTAAGATATACTTGCATTTGGCATTGTTTGTGATTGTGATTGTTTTCCACAATTATTCTTTTTGAAACTTTTTGAAAAAGAAGAAAAATGAAAAAACCCGCAAAACAGATGCATTAAATTATGACGATTGAAAAGATAGCTATGTTTAAATTACTCCTTATTATAGTAGACATTAATTTGGAAAAGTATCACCAAACATGGTTTGTATGTTTACAGTTTACACAACTACACCCCAGCTCTGTGAAAACAGTCGGGTTTTGAGGTGCGTCTCGAGGCGATTTTTCCAAAACTATATCTCACAGTAAATTATGAACAGAGTTTGTATTACTTACTGTCTCACACTCTCACAGTAAATAAAAAACAGAATCCTGCCTCATAAATCGCCTAGAGACGCACCTTGAACCCCCAGCTCTGTAAGTTAGTAGATTTTTGAAAACATAGCTATCTTTTCCAGAGGCGATTTGAAAACCGTCGGGTTTTGAGGTGCGTCTCGAGGCGATTTTTGAGGCGGGATTCTGTTTTTTATTTACTGTGAGACAGTAAGTAATAAAGTAATAATAAGGCCGGGGAGAGTATTTTTCAGAGTCCAGATTTTGACTAAGCTTCTAGATTTCTAAATTGTCTCATTTGTGTTTCTTTGTTAACTTTGACGTTGGGTTAAACGTGTTATATGTTTGTTTGTGTGTTTGGGCTTTCATTTTTAATAAATGTGACTGCATAATGACAAGCAATATCAAAGCTGTCATCATCATGGGTTTGCTTTCACATGCATGGCAAAAATCATAAGAAGACAATGAGATGAGATCGTTAATATGGCCATAAACACCACTTCATTCATTTTGTAAAACCAACATGCTTATCATAGAACATAATGACAAACTCAGCATTTATGGAAGTAACAAAAAAGGAAGGGTAAAATGCAAGCCTTAGAAAATGGGAAAGCATGAAGCAAGCCAAAAAAAAATGGACAGAGCTTATGCTGATTAAAAAGTACCATTATTCCCATACAGCTCTGATGGAAAGTTGATGGACATCCATCACAGCAGATCAGATCCCCTCCATCACCGCATATACCACAAGTATCATCATTTGGATCATCACCATCAATGTCTACTGAACAGAAACCCTGACGTTCTGACTCAACCTGTCTATTCCATGCATCTGTAAGGCACTGCAACAGAGAAGCTCCACATTCCAACACTATGTTTTGAAATGGTTGGCGCAGTTTGCTCCCTGCATGGAGCTCAAACTTAGACACAGTAAGGATTTTACTACAGCAGCCACAGTGAATGCCATCTCGTGTGATCCAGCCTTCTAGCTTTGTACGTGTTTTTCTACGGTTCATATACTGGACCTTTTCACTAAGTTTGACTGTCCCCGAGTCTATCATCCATGCCAATAATGTTCTTTTCCCAGAATAAGGAATATACCCATCACTTTCTGAATTTTTTCCATTATCGGAACCACGGACCAACAAAGTACATCTTCCAGTTATTTTACTTTTTCTTCCCTGGACTGAACTGCCAGCAGGTGATACAGAGGACTTTCCAATCATGTCCTTGAGTCTCCCAGCTTCTGAGATCGAGACAATTTTGTGTGTATCAAACTCATTCCTTTGATGTCTTGAATGAAGCTTTCCTTTTAGCGACTTACCACTCTTCTTTATGTAGCTACTGAGCCGCTCATCATGCTGATCACTGTCTGTACCTTCTGCAGACTCTTTTCCAGAAGTCTTCTTTTTATCCTTACTGGAACTGTGATCTTTTTTCTTTTTTTTCAAGTCTCTTTCAATTCTCTTTCTGGTTTGCCTCGTTAGCTTGTTTATATCTTCCGATATAGGAGAAAAAGGAGCTGCAGATTTCTTTGCACCACCATCCTCCTCCAACTTTTTCAAAAAAGCATCATAAGCCTTAACTATTGACCAATAGCCTGTTCCAGAAGGACTTATATAGACTGAGTCTATGTAATCTCTGTTCCGCCTTGGTCTATAATCAATAGTCCAGCCAGCATCCATCAAAATTCCCCTAATTTTTTCACGCAGTTGTTGTTTCTCAGTGCTTGCACCGCCTCTAGTTTTTCCTTGTTTATTAGTGGGAGGAATTATTTTGTCCGTTGAAATTTTATTTTCTTCCTTTTTAACTATATTCAATGAGTTACAAGCTGGTGTAGTTGTTGGAGCCACCTTAGATGATTGACCATCCCCATCTGTTTCGGAATCACTGGCTGGAGTATTTTCATTCACCAATACTTTACAGGATTTCATCTTACTCTTCTCCCTTTGAAGAGACAAATGTCGCTTTTCAGAACCCAAGCAAATTTTAGGTTGAACTTCTAGCTTCTTCTTGATGAGGTTCTTAGACGTTGTGTGTTCCCTACTCCCAGAATCATGACAATCATACTTTTTATGTGACAACTCCGCCTTTGTGTTCACCATTACCTTCAATACCCCATTTTTCCCCTGCAACCTGATGGATTCCTTTGGCGATTTTTTATGCTTCGACTTCAGCATGGAGATGGGAAAATCTGCATCATCTTCCTCTGCAACAATTCTTCTCTTACCTGTACGGTTAAAATCCTTATTTTTGTTTCCCAAAGCATTGGCTGAACTATCCAAATTCAACTTCATCTTTTCCGCAACCTTTACCCCACTAGACCCTTTTTTGAATTCCCGAGAGCTCCCTGTTCCTCCTTCCATCCCATCTCCATTTCTATTCCTCACAGCTGTCTGATCAAATTCATCATACTCATCAAAGTCGAATAAATCTAACCTACTCCGTTTCCCATTACTTCGGGTATTGTTATTATTCCCCTCAGCCCTTCTCCTGTATGTTACGGGGCTCTTAAGTTCATCACTTTTCCTCTTACAAGATTCTAGCAACTCATCACCCGAACCTGAATCGTGTGTGATAACCCTGGGTCTCTTCTTTTGGTTCTTCTGCAAAGACTCTGACGAGCCTATCGTACCCCTTCGAGTACCTCCCACTTCACAGTCTTTTTTCCTGATAATCAAACAGCCAGGAGACTTTTTATCTTTTGCCACACAATCCGAGCTCACAGGCTCCTCCATGAAAACTAAACCTTGAAGTCAATTAAGTTTGAATTAAATTGACCCCATCAAAATTGAAGGATACCCCTTTCACTCTTCAGAGTAGCATATCAGATCTGAAACAAATGAAAAAACTATAGAGCTACGGAACATCCAAGACCTAAAAAATAAAATCTTGGTGCAATGTAGAGGGTCCTGCAGCGCATGAGAAATTCCAGTGACCTTACCTCGCCGGTAAGTAAGCTCGATTCCACCAAGACAATCAATCCATGGTGTCGTTGCGTAATTCTACGGCTAGCCAATCGCCAGAAACAGAAAAAGCGTAGGGTGAAGAAAGAAAGAAAGAAAAAACAAATAAGCTCTCTGAGGTTTCAAATTCTCAATAGCCTTTCGAAGAGGAGCCTAATACATTCTCCGCACATGATTTACTTCAAAATTGCGCATTAGATGTTTTAATCCTTCGAAATTACTCCGTATATTGTAATCATGTCTATTATACTACCTCCGTTCTCTTTTAATTGCAACATTGGACTTTTTGCACTATTTACATATTCTACTTTGACTATGTTTTATTCATTAATGTATTACAAATTAAAATTTTTAAAAAATATTTTTAAATTCTTCTCATTCTAAATTTTCAAAATCCTATTTTTTGAAATTTTTTAATAATAAGGAATGAAATATATTAACGGTCAAACTCGTGCGTTGGCAAACGTGAAATGTGGACCGTTGCAATTAAAAAGGAACGGAGGAAGTAAGTTATAACTATGCTCGCATGTAATTAATTGATTTCACGCATGTTTTTGTACTACTGACTGCAAACTTAGAGCCCGTTTGGAGACCCCTTTTTTCGGCTTATCAGGCTTATCAGCCAGCTTTTTCACCAAACACGTAATTTTTTCTTTCGCGTGCTAAATTGTGTAATAAGCAGAAAAAGTAAAGTTGGAGTTACTTTTCTGGCTGTATTGGCTGAAGTTACTGTAGATGACCATTTTAGCTATTTTTACATGTAATTTTTTCTTTATTTTATTAATAAAGTATATTTTTAAAATATTTTTTTCTAGAATCAGCCAAAACAGCCACTTCAGCCAGAACTTCATAAATTTCAGCAGAAACAGCCAAAACAGCCGATTTTCGTGCTACCAAACGGGCTCTTAATTAATTTTTTTATTTGTGGAAAGTGGCTTATATTGATATCATCATAGCATACAGATATGAGCTAAACAAACAAAAAGACCGCTAACAACTGTCGTCCATCGAATCAAACTCAGAATTAGCATTAGCATTCGGAAATGGAGTAAGCCTCACTCAATCATAATGTAAGAGTCTTACAATAATAAAAGTAAGCAACAGAAAAATAAACTGTTTAATCGTGAAAAATATAACACAAGCAAATGGTAAAATTAAAAAGATGCTTCCAAACCCTAGACTCTCCTGCACCCATGATCGAGGGCGGTTCAGGAGGTGGACGATCCAACAGTACCGAAGCTTCTTCCTCACGTTGTCTCTTATTCATCAGGTTCTCTACCAAGCCTCCTTTGTCGCCACCTAACACAGATGACCTCGAATCCAGATCTGTTCCAACCTCAAGCTCCACGCTTCGTCCATGACCTTTGGCCGCCAAAGACCAAGCATCCATCTTCCGTCCCTGCACAACCTTCGGCCGCCAGAGATTAAGCATCCTCTTCCCTCCACTTAATCTCGCAAAGCAAAAGAAGAAGAAACACACAATTGATGGCGGAAGAAGAAACTTTGTAGGACTAAGCCCGCCTGCGGCGGCCGCTCCTCGTCATAAAACGATAGCGAAGGAAAAACCCTAGCGGTGGAAACCCACCCTAGAGAGAGAAGGAGCCAAAAAATATCTCTAAATATATGTAAATAATCAGACTTAGAGTTAATCATCTCAACAGAAGCAATATAGCTCATAGATCCATTAATGGGCGCAACTGAATCAAAGACGATCACCGCAGACTTCCTGTCACCCAAATCCAAGCTCAAAGTTTTACAATGCAAAAAAATACTACGTAACAAACTGAAAGTAAACAAAGCACCCAACATCATAAAAAAGTAAAAAACAAGTGTGACAAAAAAATCAAAACCCTACTCCGTTTTCCAGTAATAAAATCCCAAAAGTCATCTCGAGCGTGCTACCTGAGACTTTGCAAACGCAAATAAATAAATAAAAACCTTTTTCATACTCGTATAATAATTTTGGTTTAAAGATTTTTATTCATATCTTACTTGCATCTTAAATAATATGGATGTTGAAAAAAACTAGGATCGCTCGCATAAGTCTTGATAGACTTTTCTGTTTTACAATAGTATATAGTTTTTTAATACCTAGAACTATTAGTAAAATATATAAATCATGTTAAATGAGTATTGTAGTATCCATAGATAAATGTTTGTACGAAGTAACTATAAAGAAAATTGTATACATTACAAAATATTTATATATTACAAATTTTTTATTTTTTGCATAGACCTGAAAAGAGGTTTGGCTTTTTGTGATTCTTATCTACAAATAATTGTCATATCAATTTTTTCAAATGATCCCAATATTACAAATTCCTGGAATCATTATATTCAAATAATTGCTACATCAACTAATAGAGAGCGAATTCCTAAAATAGTATAAATACCTAATTATTATCATATTTAAATAATGTTTTTCTTCTCTTGCTCTAGTTTTAAAATACTATCACAGTATTATAATTGCACAAAAGGTCACAATATGCAACACACCATCTCCTATTTCAATAAATCAATTAAAGGCGACTTCTTATGCATAATGAAATGTATAAGAAGTTCTGACCTATAGTGACTCGGTGGGAAGTTCTGGATTATTCCAGTGTCTCGGACTTACATCTTGTTCTTAGAAGTTCTGTATTACTTAGCGAAGTTAGGACCACCTGGTGCTAACAAGAACAATATAATAGAACACGATGCCTACTTTTGATAATTATTGAATTTTTTAGGTTTCAAATTATGGTAAGCAACACATCTTTTATCTGTAGGTAGTTTACTTCCACATTTTGGAACTCTGGACTCCTACTTGTCAATGATTAGGCCGGTTTTTAATTGTATATCTTTGCTAGTGCCATCACATGTATCAAAATTAGTTTATAATATGCTCAAGAAGACGAGGAGTGACATCTAATTTTAATTATATGGTTACCTTCTCGACTAAAGTTAAGCATGATTATGAAAGCGGCTATTTTTTTTTTGCTTGGATCAGATTCAATCGAAATTTGAGGACTATAACTATAATGGACATGCGGAACCAATTTCAAATATATATAATCCGATATAATGTAATACATCTATATATAAATACTTCGTAATGTGTGTGTTGGAACAAAGTATATTATTTCGTTGATGACAAACAATCAATGCTACATTTATTTTATAAAAGGATGCATGAAGAGAATTAAGGAACTCACATTCTGGAACAAGCCAACAAGCTCTACCCGAGCCTTGAATTAGGAACTACTCATTCAAAAATGATTAAACCGAAAGCCTTGAATTAGGAACTACTCATTCAAAAATGATTATAATTCTGATTTCTAACTAGAAGCCTTTATATTTTAAATAGGAGTCTTATAACTGATTTGTATTCTTTGTGAGTCTTAAAACCAGAACCCTTAACATTATAGCAATTTGAGAGTATTTTTTTAATTTTATGTGGTATGATTCAAACATTTCAGTCTGTGATACAACATCTAACTGAACTTCACTTTTATTCTTTTCTTTATAGATGCTATAGTGCAGCAACACAATGGTTGGAACTACTTAATTGGGAAACCGAAAGTCTGCCTTTTTCAGCATTAAGAAGCAGAAGCTAAAATTATCAAAGAGTTGGGCATCTTGAGGTAAGTTCTGACAGAAGGAGAACATTAGATCATTGTTAGCATACATTTCTTTGTTTTTTGATTTCCAGAATGAGTTCAACATAGGAGGTCTTTATGCATTTGGCGATGAAACAGCATGAGAGAGGGACATAGCAGACACAACCATAATGAATAGAGACTGAGATTCGTTTTGATTCTGTTTTGGTAAGAAGACACCGGCCTCCTTAAAAAAACCGAAAAAAAAAGAGATTCTGTTTTGATTAGTTCTTGGGGAATTCTATGAAGAGATACTCTATTTATATTATGAAGGAATCTCAATTCTGGAACTTGGACAGTTCTGTTTTTTTAATGTTATTTAAATATGACATTTGTTTTATTTGAGTTGTTTTAATGTTAAAGTAAGTTGGGAGTCCAGTTCAGTTCTGGGAGTTGGACATGTTGTTTTAACTTGGACAGTTCAGTTCTTGGAGTTGGGATGTTGTTTTATTTTTGTTGTTTTAATTATTATTATAGAGTAATTTCAGAGTATTTTTGAATTGGAAAAAATACGGGTATATGACCATAACTTAACCCATTTCTCAAACAATGATTCATATAGTTTTTTTCCCAATATATGAGTAACCGTGTATTAATTAAAACGACACATGGCTACATGATTGCATTGAAAGACCAATTTAACCTCTACTAAAAAGAATTTGATTCTCTCAATTTTCGAAATCCTCATTATGTCGATTAGAGCTAAAAGTTCGGCTGGTCAGTTATGGGAAGTAGTTTAATTAAGGAAAAATTCCTAAACCTTCTGCCCTAATTTCCCCAACCAGCGTATATCGGACAGACCGTAAATCGCAAAGGCCATGCGAAGCAGTGAAGGTTACAGTCAACAATATGGTGAGTTTTGTTATGTTTTATTGCAATAATTTCCGGAATTTTAACTGCAATGATTGTAGATATTAAAACTATTTTTTAATTGCAATGATTGTAGATTAAAACTATTTTTTGCAATACATTCACAATATGAATTTTTGTGTGTGCAATGGTTGTAGATAAAATCTATTTTATTTTTTTTGCAATACATTGCGCAATAATTTCCGGAATTTTAACAGTGTGGCGCTGCAGTTAATTTTAACGGCAATGATTGTAGATTAAAACTATTTTTTTGCAATACATTGCACAATATGAATTTTTGTGTGTGCAATACATGGCATTATCGATCTACTAACGAAAAAGAATAAGGAGGGAGTAGCAGAGAATTAGTTTATGCAGAGGGGAACAAACATGGAAAGAGGTTACCTTACCTTCCGGAGTGGTCTCTTCAGCGGCAAAAAAATGTAAAATTGGCTATTCCAATTACTACTTACACGATTTACTTAGGAGGGTAAAAAGGGAATAGATTTTTTAATTAAATGGCCGCATGATGCTAATTGATGGCATGAGATATCATTTTGGGAAAAAAAAAAAGATTGAACTCATAGATTGAGAAACACATAAACTTCTAGTCATATGGGGGGTCATTATTTCTTTTGAATTGTGTGTGGTATGTATTTATACATTTCAGTTTGTGTGATACAACATCTAACCAAACTTCACTTTTATTCCTTTCTTTATAGGTGCTATATTGTAGCTACATGACAATGGTTGGAACTGCTTAATCGAGACACGGAAAGTCTAGTCTTTCAGCATTAAGAAGTAGTTTAGGAAGGAGCAGTCCCTTTACAGATGGATTTTGTATTATGTTCGTATAGTAAAAAACATACATTCTATCACTTCTGATATATTCTATCAAGGGGCTATGTCAATAGCTAACATATTTTTTTTTTGTTTTTTTAAAAGTACATATAACGTCGGTTTCTATAAAAACTGACGTTGTATGTATTTTTTTTATTTTTTATTAAAGCTTTTGACGTCGGTTTTACACAATAACTGACGTGGTAGGTCTTAGTTATTAGAAAAAAACGGGTACTTATTACATCGGTTCTAAAATTAAATAACCGACGTGGTAACATATCTATTACGTCGGTTTAGTAACTGACGTAATATATTATGACCTATAACGTCACGACATTCCTCGTCACTTTAAAAACCGACGTGAAAGGGTATAAATAACCGACGTGAAAACCCTCTTTTGTAGTAGTGTTAAACCGGCTTTCTTAAGAATAATTTTCCTTTTCCACTCAAATTTGATCATGATTTACGCGAAACTTAAGAGGATTGTTTTTTTCTTTTAAGGAAATAATCAAAAATCATACAAAAAAAAGAGGATAAACTAAGGAAAACCATTCTCTACACCTATGAGAGAATATATCTGCCCAACATAAAATCTTTATCAGAAATCAAGCTTTAAAAGTAAAAGGATTTCTGAAAATAAAAAATGGTAGATCATGTATCTCCTCATGCAAGGCAAGTTTCCAAAGCAAAAATGTTTTTCCTTAAAGAGGATAAATAATTACATCTCTTTTAAAAGGAAGCACCTACTAAATCTTTTTCGTACAAGAAGTCTTCAAAATAAAAGGATGAATGTTTCAAAGCAGTCACAAACGGTTTCATAAAGAGTATGTTGAGGTTAATTTTAACATGTTAGCTATAGTCCAAGAACGATTAAACATTTAAACTATTAACATACTACCTTTGTATTCTACTTTACTACAATAGGGTTTGACACACTGCTTAAGGAAAAAATAGCATGGGTAGTGAACGGTGTAAAAAATTAGGGGAGAGAGTGAGAAGGTATGAAAGAGAATATAAAAAATAGAAGAAGTAAAACTAATTGAGTATTTTAAAACGAAAAACTTACTATAAATAGAAAGTGTAACAAACAAAAAATAATTCCCAAAAGGATGGAGTATGATTTTTACGTGAACACCCGAAAAGATGAAAAATCATAGGACTTTTGACGCTAAATTCAAACCAACACTTTTTTTTATTAATCGTCTCACCATTTTTACATGTACAAATAGCTTAATGAAGTCTTTAAACATTCTAGGTTAGGGGGAAGCGGAGAAGAAAAGATGAGAAGAGGGGAATCCTAAAATGGAGGGAAATCCTCCTGGTTATAGGAAAAGGGGCAAGGGATACATTCTATCCTAATGACGCGAAATTGGCATAACGAGGGAGTTAGTGTGGTCTAATATCCCCACCAGATAAACAAATCTTTAAGAAAAAAACATTTGAAACAAATAAATATATGCTTCATAAGTTCATATTAGTGAGCAAATACTTTCATAAAACAAGTTGAAAAGTGGAATATACTTGAAAGTCATATTAATGAGCAAATAAATTTTATATAATGAAGAATTAGCTGATCACGAACTTTTTGTGTATAATCATTTCCTAACGAGGCAAAACAATTTTAAGGAAAGATCTTTTAAATATGAGGTAAGGGCTTTGTCGTAGTCTCAACACATTCTCAAAAGACTATTTCTTAATTGTATTTTGAGAAGCATCTGTTAAGATGAATTCTCCATTGGATTAGGGAGTATGGTAATTAAGGACTTTGTGATAAAGTTGAGAACCACCTTCCACATGACAAGATTACAAAATTCTACTTGAAGAGGTTTGAATTGAATTGGCTCAAGAGTAAGATATAGTCTGTCTGCTTGTAATTTTTTTTTTACAAAAATGGTCATTTAGTGAAAAAGTTTTAAATTCATCCAAGCTAAGGAAGATGGAATTTTAATCCCTAGAGTGAAAGAATTTTTCTTCATTAAACCCGTGCATTTATTTTATACTCTTAGACACAATTCACCCCCTTTGTAATTCAACGGAATTATAAATACTTCCTCCGGTTTTTATTAAACTTCACTCTTTGACTTCACACAAAATAAGGAAAAAAAAATTGACTTTACTGTAGAGTACATTGTTTGGCACTGTTGAGACACTGTTTGACACTGTTTGGCACCGTTTTGATATAGATTTTTTTGCCAAAAAAGGAAATAAGGAAGTGTGAAGTTTATTTTAGACCGTCCCAAAAAGGAAAGTGTGAAGTTTATAAAAAACCGGAGCGAGTATATTCCTCTCTTGTATAATCAACCGATTCATTAATATATTCCCCTTGTGTAACTCATTAATATATTTATAAATTATTACTCGGTGCAATATAGCGTAAGATTATGTAATTGTAATTACATAATTGTAATATTGTATGTTGTAATATTATAAACGGAGTAATATTATAGATTGTGATGTTGTAAGATCATGTACAATAAGTCAATAACTCATACAAGTACGGAGTAATACATTGTAAGAGTGCAATAACATGAAAGACCCCCAAGAACCGTACCACATCATTTCCCACAAAAAACTTAGGGTTGTTTGGAACTTATTCTGATTATGCTTCTTTTTTAAAGAAGAAGCAGAATCAGAATCAGTTTTCAGAAGCTGGTCACCCCCATATTCTAAAAAAATGGATTCTAGGAGTAAATTAGAGCACCAGAATCACTTTTGCACTTTCAGCCAAACACTCAAACTTCTGATTTTGCTCTTTTAGGAAGCAGAATCTGTTTTATGAATCAGATCCAAACACCCCCTTAATCCCCTCTAACCTATCACACTTTCTCCCCATTATGGTGACCTAGATCACTTAAAACTTGTACATTTTCTTTCCATATTTATGGTAGATTCTACCATTATTATTTTATATAATTTGAAAAAGGGAAGATAAAATCCACATTTGACCCACTATAATTAATTATTGTTGGCATTGTATCTAGGTAGAGAACCGGTTGGGTCCATTTTCAGAGGAAAAATATTTTAAAACAGATAAAATAAAATGCAAGAGGGAAAGAAGTGGTAAATTTCGAAGTGACTAAACATATCCTTCATTGGTGTCTATTTATAGAGGGCAAAAATCTAATTTTTTGGCATAATTTTTTTTTTTACAATAAATTAAATTTAATGAATAATAAATGAAATTAGAGAATTGTGGGATAGTTGATAGGGTTGGTGGCTATCTTGATTGGGAAGAGAAGTCATCTATTTCGCATGCCACTATTTTTTTCTAAATAAAAAGCCACTTGACTTTCTCTAATTGGACAAATTGGTTAGTTAAAAAATATTTGTGAAATCTCATTCTCAACCTTGCATTTTGATCGATCACTTCATGAGCTCCCATGCATATAGCCATGGACTGAAACCGGACCGCCCAACCCGGGCCCAGACCATGTCCCGGGTGGACCGCACCGGGTTATAAACTCAGCGGGCTCGGGTGCCCCAAAAATGGAACCGGCCCGGCCGGTTCGGGCCCGATTAGGGCCTTTTTTCAATTTTTTTTTTGTTTTCCACAGGTTGGGCTGGGTGTTTGGGGGGGTTAGGGTGAAGGGGGGAGGGTCAGGGTTAATTAGAAAAGAAAAAGAAAAAAAAACATTGAACCGGACCGGCCCGGAACCGCTGCCTACCCAGGCCGGTTCCGGTTCACCCTTCCCAAAAAAAAGCCAGCCGGTATCAGGCCTGAATCGAAACTGGCCCAGCCCCGGGTCCATGCATACCCCCATAGTGAGGATCAAGTGGGGTCATTTTTTTATTATCTCTAATGACCTCCCCATAGTGGGTGCTTTTAGGGGAACTAAGAACAGCCTGTTTAGGAATCAGACCATATAGGTTCACTTAATCCTGGACTCGGTTCGGGCCACCCGGACCAGGAACCGGCCCGGGAACCGGCCCGGCCCGCTACTGTGCGGGACCAGCTCGGTGCTGCGGGCCCCAAACCGGTCTAAGACCCGGCCGGGCCCGGTTCGGGCCCAATTGATTTTTTTTTTGTTTTTTCATTTTTTTTGGGTTCCACCCGGGTTGGGCTTGATGTTTAGGAGGGGTTTGGGTGTGGGGGGGTGGGGGTGAGGGGGGGGTTAGGGATACTTAGGAAAGCAAAAAAAAAATAACCAAACCCAAGGCCCGGCCCGGACCCGGTAGCTACCCGGGCCGGTCCCGGGCCCAACTATGCAGAACTGGCGGCCCGCCCGGGCCTAGGCCCGGACCCGAATCCAGCCCTAGGTTCACCCTTATTATCGACACGCTTTTCTTTTTCTTCCGATTCAAAATTATTACTGATTTTATTTTGAAGAAAGCAACATGTTGTTCAAGTGCTTCTCTTTCTGGTAATTAAATCTCAAGCCGCATGTTATACGTAGTATTACTTTCTTAAGCTATAGGACCAGTGAAACTGGCCAATAATTTAGAGATGGAGGGAGTATATAACATGTTTTCGCTGCATTATATCTTACAGCAAATCCCAAAGAACCATAATGTCAATTTTATACATACAAGGAAATTCAAGCTCAATGTATCTCAATAATATACTACAGATCGAATATTCAATCATATGACCCTAAGAATTTAAAAAAACATAATCAAGGCTATTTTCCAGTTCCTTTGATATCATTATGTCCTGGATAATTGGTTTTCGTACTCGCAGCTAACTTAAACATCACATTTTAGAAAAAGATGATTCGCTCACACTAGGCAACCATTCTTTGAAGAACTCCACCCCATCTATTTCAGCATTAGATAAAGCGCCAAGAGGGGTTACAGTTATCTGCAATAAGAAATGAGGTAAATGTTGAGGCAGAAAAGATCAGGTCCCTCCGGAGGGACGGGAGGGACCGTCCGAACTTTACTGTTTGGGACGGTTCCCGGTGGAATTTTTTGATGAAATTTTTTGAGCATGTTCCTCATCAAGTCTAGTTTGTCCATACCAAATTTCAGCTCAAAATTCGACCGGGAAGGCAGTCAAATAAATTCTTGAAGCTTACTGCACATTCTGCGCATATATAAAGTGCAGTAAGTTTCAAGAATTTATTTGACTGCCTTCCCGGTCGAATTTTGAGCTGAAATTTGGTATGGACAAACTAGACTTGATGAGGAACATGCTCAAAAAATTTCATCAAAAAGTTCCACCGGGAACCGCCCCAAACAGTAAAGTTCGGACGGTCCCTCCCGTCCCTCCGGAGTGACCTGAGCAGTCCTCAATGTTGAGGATACATGAATATGACTAAAGCAAAGAGGTCAAATCCCTGCTTAAGACCGGGGTGGATTGTTCGCTCCTATTAAAAAAATACAGAAGTGATTATTACGTAGCATCATCTATAAGAACGATATCTGTAGCTAAAAATACCGGAAAATCGGTATACCGCACTTACTGTACTGAAAAATACCGGAAAATATCGAAATATTGGTATACCGTCATTTTCGGTACGGTATCATACTGTACCGATCTATTTTGGTACGGTAACGGTAAATGTTTTCAAATACCGCGGTATACCGGTATAATACCGTACCGACTCCCTACTCAACAATTACTTTTAATTCTAATATATTGTAAAAATTCATTACAATTTTGAAGCCCAAAATTAATACTTAAGTTGGTTACAAATACAAAAATACAAAAATAAAGGCCCAATTTCTCAAACTCACTATAACCTTATAGGCTTCTACTACGCTAACCTTAATGACTAATGAGTAATGTACAAATGTCAAGAAACAAGTACATCCTGTTCCAAGAGTTTGCAAGTTATGATGGTTGGACCGCTAAGTAGCTGACGAGTGAAGGGAGATACACTTATGTGACAAGTGTATCTATATAGGGATTCCGCAGGTCAAGACACACAACTTTGTTCGAAAGTTTTATTCAATTTTTAAAAAATTATAAAAAAATAACTAAATACACAATATCATATTAGGAATAAATGATTTTATATCCATGTTGTTTGGATAGTTTTATTTATTTTTGTTAGAGATCACTATTGATTTAATTATATCTATATTGTTCAAGTTATTTTAGGAGAATGTCTTACGTTTTAATATGTGACATGTTGAACTGCTTAAATATACTAATAATAATTATTGTTCAATATTGAATTGACATCAATAGATTAATAATTGTATTTCGTAACAGTTTAATATTTGATATAATAAGTCGATAGTAATAACGATTTAGTATATTTCGTTAGTCTATGATAATTTTTTGTATTGGGAGACATGCACGGCAATTTACCGATACCGTACCGTTACCGAACCGAAACTTCAGTATACCGAAATACGGTATACCGAAACTTCGGTAAGGTAAAGGTATGCAAATTTTGCATACCGAAAGTTTTGGTACGGCAAAGGTATGAGAAAAAATATAAGGTATACCGTACCGAACCACCCCTATCTGTAGCATAAATGTTAACACTAAAGTATTTAGTGTTTACCAAATAACTCATACTGGCGTATTGCCAGTGCCGTAGCTAGGGGAGGGCCAACCCTGGCCCTGGCCCAACCCAAATTTTAAAAAAAGTCTATAATTTTAGTGTAAAAAAATCCGTGTAAATTTTTTCCCAAAAATATTCTTTGTACCGACTCAGTGCTCTGGCTCCGCCCCTGCATATTGCACTATTGCATAAGCAAAGCTCCTGCGTAGTGCACTATTGCATAAGCAAATACTTCTTCTGTTCCGATATATCTATCTAGCTTGACATTTGTTTTTATACAATTAATTTACCATTTTCCCATGAGGAGATTAATGGGACCCTTCCCCGGACCCTCACTAATGTGCACCAGGCTCCCCCTTCTTTACAATAAAAATTTGATCAACCTAATACACTTTATGAACTTTGTGGTTTGATCAACCTAGGGCCTACACACACTTATAGGAATATAGGGAGTATAACGTACATATCCTTGTTGAAGATAATAGTAGTCTGCATCATCAGTATCAATCTGTGCTTCCCTGACCTAAAGAACAAAAGAACCAATATTTCAGAAAGTAGAGGTAAGCCTCCGCAAGGAAGAAAAACATGGAAGGGGGGCATAAGGAAAAATCAATTGATTTGACGGCTTATTTTGGTGTACGAGGCACCCAAAATATGGAGAAAGGAGTCTCACTTCTCTTTGGAATATAAGACTATCATTTTGTGTGCTCAAATCACTTGGTTCTACACTTGTTGTTGAATTCTGATCCATAGTCATTGTTGATAGCATTTTCCCACCTTGTGTTTCAGAGGTAATTTGTTTCCATCCCAATTTGACGAAACTTTTTCCTTGCTTAGTAAGCCGATAACCCTGAGAAGGCAATCATGGACATTTTGATGATCCTCGCACTTTGATTTCTATATATGATGGTGGACATATTACTAGAGGCTGTCTAATGAAACTTCGAAGAATCTAACTATTTTCTTCCAGAGATAAAACAATGTACTGAATGGACAAACACTTTTGTTTCAGTATACATAATCATAAAATATTATAAGCGATGGAAAAGTTGCAATTATCAACTATTGCAGCAGTATCATTCTAAAAGAAAATAAGTATAAGATCTCATTCTCCAGCTTACCTTGTGATTCAGAACATCTGTTGGAACGTCTACATTCAAAAAACAATTTATTGGATAAGTTCTATTCCCAACTTCAGCCATTATTGCAGTAATTATGGGTATGCAAGCCTCAGCAGCTAGTGTAAAGTCATTAACATTGCTCTTCCCACCAACCCTGTCAACAATTTTGATGTTAACCAAATACTCCGTAATAATTTATTAAATGCAAAATAACCTGAATGTTTTGATTTAGGTGCATTTATGGAAGATGAAGTGGGGCATTGCACTGCACCATAAATTTTATTATTATTTTCATATGCAGGCCCATATAACATAAATAAAGATGTTATAAAAACTTTGTCAGGGCATGGAGTCCTGTTAATATACCAAAACTAAAACCTTTTGTTGTTTGACCGACAGTGAAACCATACTTCTTAATACATATTAATGCGGTATATATACCCAAGCCATATTGTTGAGAACACCAAAGAGATTACACAGCTGACCACCTGAGGGACTAAAGCACTTAGAGTCCGTTTGGTAACTATGAAATTAGTTGCATCAGCTGAATCTACTGAAATTGTTGAAGTTATGAATTAAACAGCTGAATTGGCAGAACTTCTAAATTTGTCTGCTTCAAAAACATCAGCCAATTCAGGAAAAAAGTAATTTAACGCATCATTTTTAAGAAATTCCTCAAAATAAAAGTAAAACAAGGACAATGTGCAAAAATAGGAGTAAGTGTGTTTTATTCCCACAGTAGGCCTTATTTAGCCATATTAAAAGAATAAAACGATAAAAACTTCTCAAACTAGGAGTGAATGAGTCTTATTTGGGAGGAAAATAATGACACTCCTATTTGAGAAATCATTCTGTGTTTTGGTCCTATTTAGGGCATTTGCTCTACTTTTTTATTTTTTTATTGTTACACAATACAGCGCGCTAAAATCAAAAGTTCAGTCATCATCATCATTACCCCAGTGCCGCAAAGGCTCTCACCTACGGTGGGGTAACTGAAAATAAAAAGTTCAGTGTTTGGTAAAAAACGAAAAATGTATTTACTAAACGGGGCCCTAATCTAAGCTGTTTTGCTGCTGCTTGTGCCCACTTCCTTAAACCCACCTTATACCCACCCATGTTCACAGACAAGTTTTGTCTCTGAATCCCGTTTAAGTTAGGTATAAGGAAGTGGGTACAAACAGAACTTTTCTAACCTAAATCTTGAGTACCGTGTCAAAGGACGGATTACAACACTGCCTAGGTACCGTGTCAAAAGACGGTTTACAGACAAAAAAGAAGAGGAGGTGGTGCAACATGAGAACCCTTCTTGCCCGTGGCTAGAAAAGAAGAAGCTTTCTGTAACTGATCCAGAACATTAGTAGCTTCAATGATAAATTATTGTATTACAATACGGAAGTATATACTGTCCCTGGTGACTTACAATTGAATCATCCTAATGTGATGTAGATGTGCATCTTTGAATTTACACTAGTTTGAATGAGGAAAGATAACTTTGTCTTAAAGGCATGTGCTTACCAGTCATATGAAAAAGAAACAGAGGGAATATTATTGAAGAAAGCCTCTCGGGCACCAGCAACTGTCCCCGAGTATATGCTGCACTTCAAAAAGTCATTAATCAATATCAACACAAGAATCAAATAGGATTACTACAGTCTAATTTGGATGGAATGTCAAGTGTGATATTATACTAAACAGTCTTACCGTCTAGACTAAAGCAAAACAATAGACATGTTTTCTTCACCTGAAAAAGGGTAAATTTGGAATCTTATAAGATCTAGTCTGAATCTTTTTTGTTTGGTCTGAAATTCAGGATGTTTATTATCTTGTCTGATTTTCTTATCTGAAATAAAGCAATTGGTTTGATCTGTATAATCTGAATCTTTCTAGTCTCATCTAATCTGCATGTTTATGGCTTGATTACAAAATAATAATAATAATAATAATAATAATAATAATAATAATAATAATAATAATAATAATAATAATAATAATAATAATAATAATAATAATAATAATAATAATAATAATAATAATAATAATAATAATAATAATAAAAATAATAATAATAATAATAATAATAATAATAATAATAATAATAATAATAATAATAATAATAATAATAATAATAATAATAATAATAATAATAATAATAATAATAATAATAATAATAATAATAATAATAATAATAATAATAATAATAATAATAATAATAATAATAATAATAATAATAATAATAATAATAATAATAATAATAATAATAATAATAATAATAATAATAATAATAATAATAATAATAATAATAATAATAATAATAATAATAATAATAATAATAATAATAATAATAATAATAATAATAATAATAATAATAATAATAATAATAATAATAATAATAATAATAATAATAATAATAATAATAATAATAATAATAATAATAATAATAATAATAATAATAATAATAATAATAATAATAATAATAATAATAATAATAATAATAATAATAATAATAATAATAATAATAATAATAATAATAATAATAATAATAATAATAATAATAATAATAATAATAATAATAATAATAATAATAATAATAATAATAATAATAATAATAATAATAATAATAATAATAATAATAATAATAATAATAATAATAATAATAATAATAATAATAATAATAATAATAATAATAATAATAATAATAATAATAATAATAATAATAATAATAATAATAATAATAATAATAATAATAATAATAATAATAATAATAATAATAATAATAATAATAATAATAATAATAATAATAATAATAATAATAATAATAATAATAATAATAATAATAATAATAATAATAATAATAATAATAATAATAATAATAATAATAATAATAATAATAATAATAATAATAATAATAATAATAATAATAATAATAATAATAATAATAATAATAATAATAATAATAATAATAATAATAATAATAATAATAATAATAATAATAATAATAATAATAATAATAATAATAATAATAATAATAATAATAATAATAATAATAATAATAATAATAATAATAATAATAATAATAATAATAATAATAATAATAATAATAATAATAATAATAATAATAATAATAATAATAATAATAATAATAATAATAATAATAATAATAATAATAATAATAATAATAATAATAATAATAATAATAATAATAATAATAATAATAATAATAATAATAATAATAATAATAATAATAATAATAATAATAATAATAATAATAATAATAATAATAATAATAATAATAATAATAATAATAATAATAATAATAATAATAATAATAATAATAATAATAATAATAATAATAATAATAATAATAATAATAATAATAATAATAATAATAATAATAATAATAATAATAATAATAATAATAATAATAATAATAATAATAATAATAATAATAATAATAATAATAATAATAATAATAATAATAATAATAATAATAATAATAATAATAATAATAATAATAATAATAATAATAATAATAATAATAATAATAATAATAATAATAATAATAATAATAATAATAATAATAATAATAATAATAATAATAATAATAATAATAATAATAATAATAATAATAATAATAATAATAATAATAATAATAATAATAATAATAATAATAATAATAATAATAATAATAATAATAATAATAATAATAATAATAATAATAATAATAATAATAATAATAATAATAATAATAATAATAATAATAATAATAATAATAATAATAATAATAATAATAATAATAATAATAATAATAATAATAATAATAATAATAATAATAATAATAATAATAATAATAATAATAATAATAATAATAATAATAATAATAATAATAATAATAATAATAATAATAATAATAATAATAATAATAATAATAATAATAATAATAATAATAATAATAATAATAATAATAATAATAATAATAAATGAGAAAACAGAATGAGGTGAACGGGATAACACTTAAAGTCTTCTATTGTACAACAATATCCACAGACAGTAATCAATTAAGCATAATGCATGGTTTGACGGTAACATGGCAATCAGTAGGCTTTAGAAGTATAATTGAAATCCACAAAAGTACCCAAAAATAAGAATAAAAGTCCAATGTGACAATAGACTGTAGCAGTATCAAGTAAAACCATTGTGATTGGAACATGTATGGACTATGGAGCAATGGATACACCGCATCACAGAAGATTTATTGGTCGAAGAAAAAAACTCACATGTGATAACCACAATTGCTGCCCATATTAATACCACTGATAACCTGAAATGATAAATCACTAAATAAGTATCATAATGCACAGGAAATGCTTATGACTCTACACAATGCTCTTAAGGCACAGATGCTGATGACATACTGCAGATAAAAGAAAAATATTGGCAGGATGTAGAAGTGTCAAATGTGGAGATTGAGCTGAAAAACATATTGGTTTGATGAATAAAATTCTATCTCATTATCAATCATAACTATAGGATAATGGAGAAATAACAGCATATAGAGAAAATCAATACATTGTATGCTTTCCCGATCCGTAGTAGACATAAATGCATATCCGTTTGTTGAGATAAATATCATAGAAGATCTAAATAAATACGGGGTAAAATACCAAATCAGGAACTGAAGAGAAGAGAGCTTTAGATATTCCCAGCGAAGTGCAATCTGCTGGAGTTCCTGTAAAGATATAAAAAGTAGGGGCCGAACAATGTGTCGGTTATATTAATGAAACTTATACATAGTAGTATATTTGTAGAAAAGAAGGTTATGTAAGTTGAAACTGAAAGTTTAATTTTATAGCAGCGCTTTCAAACATTTATCAGGTGTACATCAAACATAACAATCTTTTCCTTTAAACTGAAAGACAAAATGCCATAGTAATGTACACAAGACAGTATTAATGAAAAATGAGTATCGATAAGTATACAGTGACAGGAATTAAAGCCAAATGATTTACTGATATTTGCACTAACCACCAACTGCAAAGGCTGTTGCACCACTAATTTCCACTCGCTTGACAGGGATGGCATTACGCCATGTGATGCTATTACTAACTGCTGACTTTTCCCTGATAATATAGATAAATAAGTATTACAGAATATAAAAGATTTAGACATTTAGAGAGAATTTGATTAATAGGACTAAAAGATAACACACAGTTTCAAATTGGTCAAACATTGGTTTTTCCTGAGAATAGCACTCAATCATCCTAGAAAAGAACTATTAATATTTCAGTTCCTTTTTAGGTAAGTAACCAAATACTTAAAAGAGATTCCTCAACATTTTAAGGCGTCCACTTCAAATGTTGATCTGTTTATAAAATATACTCTGTAATAAAATCCATCCTACTCCAGACTACCAGCCATTCATACAGAATAAAATATAAACTATATAAATGCCTAAATTAGATATTAGGTGCCCATTTTGAGGTCTTCTTAACATAATATCAGTACAATTACATTTCATACGACATGTTATGGAATTTTAATTTTTGTAATGTAGACGGAGTCAGTTAAATTAGTGACCCACCTGTTCAACCATGGGACCCATTGGCCCACTACCCTACTCGAGTCAAAAACAGGCCTGAATGTTAAAACTCTGCATGTGAGATACAGATGGGTGACATCCCAACATAGAATAAATTTGGTTGCTCACCAACTTGAAAAGGGTGAACCGTTTCATATAACTCCCAGATGAGATTTTCAACTTACTTTCAAACACAATGAACACCTCCACATGGCTGTGTTCACAAAATCTAAGCCAACTAATATCCCAACTGAACCCTCCTACCTAACTGAGAATACCTCTACAGAATCAGCCTTACCAACCACACAAATCATCCCCTCTCAGCGTGTTATTTCCAACCACAATCGACACTCAGGCACACCTAAATATATCACAACAACCCCCAAAACCTAAGATAGCCCACAAATTCCCTCTAATATCAGCATCATCCCTCACACGTCCCCCACACACCTCACCACTTCCAGCCGGGCCTGAAAAGGGTGAACCGTTTCATATAACTCCCAGATGAGATTTTCAACTTACTTTCAAACACAATGACCACCTCCACATGGCTGTGTTCACAAAATCTAAGCCAACTAATATCCCAACTGAACCCTCCTACCTAACTGAGAATACCTCTACAGAATCAGCCTTACCAACCACACAAATCATCCCCTCTCAGCGTGTTATTTCCAACCACAATCGACACTCAGGCACACCTAAATATATCACAACAACCCCCAAAACCTAAGATAGCCCACAAATTCCCTCTAATATCAGCATCATCCCTCACACGTCCCCCACACACCTCACCACTTCCAGCCGGGCCTATCCATGTGTCTACTGCAGGAAGTGATCACTAAGCAACAAGGAAACTAGTCCCTCACTCCCTCCCAATTGTAAATATGACATTGATGTGCGGAAATCTTATTGGCCATGTCATCATTGAAAAATATAATTCCATCAAACTTGAAAAAGCAACCAGGCATATTACTAAAAATAAAGAAAATATAAAAGAGAACAAAAAACACGGATAATTATTGAACTTTTGCTTTCCAAACCAACCATTTTCCAATAAAAACAGATTGTGCATTATTTTCAATGACGTGGAACAAACCACTGATTACCCTTTTCCATTCTTTCTAAGCAAAAAGATAAAGTATAAAAAAAGGCAAGAAAGTGTGGGCATTCCCCCCTAGATGACACAGTTTTTTCTGTGGACTATAATGATAGGCATATAGCCCTATCACTGCAGAAGGAAAACAATGAGCTATTCAATAAAAAAAACAAAATCACCAATCAAGAGGAACAGAACAAATGGAATTTGTTTATTCATGAAGTGTAGGACTAGTTGATGAGCATAGCTATACAGCTACCTGCAGGTGGAGCTTCAGAGCAAGAAGGCCGAATCCAGGCTAAGGAATGTCTACTTGAAGAAGACTACTTAGATTTTTGTCAGTAAGGCACAAAGGTCTCAAACACTAAGACAGTGGCATACTTACTATGGCATTTATAATTTAAAGTTCAACCTTTAATAACTTCTGATCAATTACCCCTTATGATTTAGCCGTTTTGATCCTATTATAAGTGGCAAGCTCAAGCCTGTGAAATGTGAGGTCACTCATCTAGATACTAATCTACTTCATATTCCTCTTTCTCTCACCTGATGGGTCATACCCCTGGACTTTTAGGTGTCTGGTGATTTTATGATGGTTCAACCTCCTAAAGTCCTACCAGCCTTGTAATAGGAATAATTGAATAATTGGCTTTTCTTGTTATGTTTAACTGAGTAGGCATTTGGTACTTACCTTGTAGTTTAATCCCTTTTCCATGGAAATCCACTTTCCCGTCCCTATGACCCTATCATATGTTGTGATGAAAAGTAAATGGATGGAAATGATTTGATTTTAATCATAACAAATACCCCTGATTTCCTATGCTCTGGCGATCCCTTTTTTCACTAAAAGCAATGATAAAAATAGAACAGCGGGAACTTGTAAAGTGTCAACGCCAATATGTTAAAATATCAGCACGGAATCAAAACCAAGATTTTATAGATTCAAAAATGCATTTCTGGTACACAATCACTAAATCATAACACACGCGTAATAGAAGGAGAGTATGGATGTACGAGTCAGGAGCGCAAACAAGGACGTTGAACCGATTGGTAGATATAAGGACACGAACAAGAGCTCTCAAGCCTGGAGCGTCCATTCCATCGTCATTCGTTACCATCACAGTAGGCCGATCGATGGGGGGTAGCACCTTGCTCTCCATTGCAGCCGGCAAATTCAAAGTCAAGCGCGGTTCAGTTCAGGTAGAGGGAAATGATTGTGTGAACGTGTAAATAATTTGGGATGTGCTGCGTATCATATACGGAGTACGTAGCAGTGTCTTCTTATTGGTCACTCCTTATCTTTTTTGTAAACAAAAAGTCTATTGTTAAACACATTTTATACACACATACACACTATAAATACTCCCTAAAAAATTTACCCCCTTCCTCTTCCCAATCACACATACGTAGCTAAAAAACCCCCAAATCCAATTTTAAAAAAAAAACCTCCCCCTTGTGCGCAGCCCTTCCTCCCGCCATTGACGATTCCGCTCCCTTCCCTTCATCCTTGCAACCGGCGAGCCTCTGCCAAGCCCTCACCAACCCGGCGGGGTTCGTCCCCCCACCCGGCGGCGTTCGTCCCTCCACCCGGCGGCATTCGTCCCTCCACCCGGCGGTGTACGTCTCTGAACGAAGCGGTCGAAGAATAGGCGGTGCAACAGGCGGTGAAACGAGCGTTCTTCCCCAGCCAGTTGTCCCGTGCAACCAACACTGCTTAATTGACAAAGAATGGTGCGAACCCCACTTTCTTCAATGGCCGAAAGGTATGGTCCTCTATTCTTGAAATTTTTAGTGTAGATATAGTTGATGATGTTTATTTGGAGGGTGAAGCAAGATTGTTTTGTTTAGCATGTTTTGGAACCCCATCTAGTTCTTGGATTTTGAACAATACACAAATATCAATTTATTTGTGCTTTGTGTGGGGATATGTCATGTGGGGATATGCATTGTCTGTGTAAGGTTGATTTTATGCCTGTTGAAGGACATATATGTTGTCTGTGTGAAGATTTTGTGTAGTTATTTGTCTGTGTGAAGTTATATGTAAAAGGATGTGCCTCCATTGTCTGTGAAGAGTTATATGATTGTCTGTACGACTCCACATATGTCTGTGTGTGTTATATGATTGTCTGTGTGACTACTAAAACAGGTCCAAATGAAAAATTTCTAGGTCTTTTGGAAAAGTAATGATTTTTCCAATTTATTTTAGAATTGTGGAATGTCGAGGATCAAACTCCTTAAAATAGCTTGATTAATTTGGACCTCGGGTACCTTAAAATTATGCGGATTATTTATTTTGTAGTTTTACTAAAAATGTTAAGCAACCTTTTACTCGGTCATTAAAATCTTACACAGTATGGTCTATGATATATTGTTTAAACACCGCTTGGCACAACACTAATAGACCCTCTATGCTATTAACAGAATTCAAGTGGGTCAAAAAAACTTAGGTTAAACTGCATAAAGAAATTGGACTCCATCTCCCAATCTATTAGGTAGTAACTCAAGTTCATTTTGGGGATATGTCATTACTTTCTATGTATTGTCTGTGTAAGGTTAATTTGATGCCTGTTGAAGGACATGTGTATTGTCTGTGTGAAGATACATATGTGTAGTTCCTTGTCTGTGTGAACTTATATGTAATTGGTTGTGGCTCCATTTGTCTGTGAAGACTTAAATGATTGTCTGTATGAGTCTACATATGTCTGTGTGAGTAATATGCTTGTCTGTGTGACTCTACTAAAACATGTCCAATTGAAAAAATGTGTAGGACTTTGGAGAAGTAATGAATTTTCCAATGTATTGTACAGTTGTGGTTCACTTCTCCAACCGGGGATTAATGTCTTTATGCAATCTTTTATGTCCAGATCCGGTGTTTGCGGCGTGATGCAGAACTTGCCATTGCAGCCCGAGTGTGCATATGAGAACAGGGCAGTGAAAAGATGTGAATTCGCAATGAGGCACTGAACTTTGAGGAAGCGATCCACTTAGACTACTTTGGGACTCCATGTTTAGTGTTGGATGTGTTTGGTTGTTAAATGTAGGAGGTTGTACAATGTTACACTAACAATGTTGTACAATGTCTTAGAATGTACTCCCAAATATTCAATAATTTGGTATGCCTTTTCGTTTTTGTGGCAAACACATACTTTTAATGGTGTTAATATATATGGAGGATGTCTTTGCCTGTGAAGAAGAAAAATCTTGTCTATGCTGTAATACGACTTTGTATGTGCTTTGTGTCGTTGTTGTCTGTGCAATGTATGCGCTCTTACATCCACTTAAGATATTTTTAATAACTACTTTATGTAATTTAATAACTAAAACATTTATTACTTTGATTACCACTGGAGCCCATGTGTAAACTTGACTTTGATTACATTTATTATATTTATTACAGATTATTAGTTTAATTTTAAAAACTTGACTTGTTTATTTAAATAACTAGTTGTTTAAAAACTACTAGTATATGTAATAATCCATTGCCCAGTTAGTTAAGTACGACATGGGAATTAAACGAGATTCTTTTTTGAAGCATTTAGTTTGGTAACATTAATGAAAAATCAACCATTGAGTGTTATTCTTCTCATTGATCGAGAAGGGTTTTAGGGTTTATTTTGTTATTATTTAACATAACCACGAATAATCAACTATAAGTATTAAATCAAAGTCTACAAATATGAAACAGATGTTGAAGGGAATTAAATAAACCCGCCTACTAAAAAAACCGTCAAATTAGCACCTTTACTATCTTTAAACGATCATCCAGGCCCAGATGACCGAAAGCCCACCCCCAATTACCGGTGGTAGCTTACGTGGCTGGTAAACTTGACAAATGTAGTCTTTTATCCACCTCAGCCCCAGTTGCTTCTTATCCCAAAGTCATACGTCAAAATTGAACCTGTTCTTGCGCCATTCCCTGGAAGTTGTCTGCGAGAAGCTTCAAATCATCCTTCCATGGAGAAGATGACCGCAGGTATCTAGGGATTTCAAATACATCCAAAGGACCGGCCATCTATCTGAAGCGCAAGTAAGTGAGTATACTCTGTTCTTAGATCCGCAAAGGTTATCCTATTAGTCATGTAGGGTTAATTAGAAGTTGTTTATAATGGAAAACTTTGAATATGTAAATTATGTAATGGTATGGCAGTGGTAAACATATGTTAGTTACAGGGTTTGATTTTAAGAAACCATTTGCTTTACCTTGATTTAGTGTACTGTATAGTAGTTTTCTTGTGTGCGAATTTGATGTCTCTGGTTAGTTTTTGTTTAAACATAAGAATTCATTTACTGGTTTCATATGTACCCTTGAATTTCAGAATGTATGATGTTGCTGAATTGAGAATCCATCATGGTGGAAGTTTCAAAAACAATCCTGAACTTTCCTATGTCAATGGTGATGTTGGTATTGTTAAGATGGACCCGGATTTGATTTCATTTCCTCATCTGGTAAAGTTTATCACCGAGGAAAGTTACAAAAAAGTTGAATCCTTGTCTTTCAAATTACCAGAGGAGAACTTCAACAAGTTGAGACCCTTATGGGATGATGCTTCCACCCTAGAGCTAATACAAGTAGCCATGAATTTGGGCACAGTTGATATATTTGTGCAACATGGCATAGATGAGCCTGACATTATTTCACTCTTACCACCTGATTCGATTGAGGCAGTCCAGAGAAATGTGCAAGTTCAAGGTGAGGAAACAGCAGAATTGCAATGGCAATATGAAGAACTGGAGAGAGAAATAACCCAAAGTCCAAGGGCCGCAAGATCAGAAAGTCAATGTGAGACTGATATTATGGAAACAGAAATGCAGGGTATGATGAACACAAACATGTTTGCTATTCAAACAGAATGTGAGGATGAAGAAAATTGTTCTGATTACTATGATTCTGATGAAGATCCTCCAACTCCTTTCTTGGTGTCTGAAGAAGAGGACAATGTCAGTGAGGTTCATCCTATAGAGAAGAAGACTTTGAAGCCTCCATCTTATAATCCTAAATCTAATTCAAAACAGCTAGATGTGGAAATGTTATTTGACAACGGGAGGCAATTTAAGAGTGCACTGATAAATTATGCAATTGACAATAAAAGAGATATAAGATGGATTAAGAATGAGCCTCTACGAGTTCAAGCTGGATGTGCAGCTAATTGTCCTTTTAAGTGCACAGGTTCATGGTCTAGCCAGTACAAGTGTTTCCAGCTAAAGACTTGGGTTGATATCCACAAATGTAATAACAAATTCAAACTAAAGGTGGTTAGTCAAACTTGGCTAGAAGAGAAATATGAGGATAAAATCAGAGAGAATCCTTGCATTGGTAAAGTTGAGCTGCAGAAACATATACGAAGTGACTTAAATATACATGTGAACATTTCTAAAGTGAAGAGGGCGATAGTGAATGTGCTGAAAAAGGTGAATGCATCATTTGGAGAGCAATTTCGAAGGTTGAGAGACTATGCACAGGAGTGTTTGCGCTCAAATCCAGGTAGCACTGCCATTGTGAAGACAAATAGGGTTACTGAAGATGGTCCTGAGGTGTTTCAAAGGATATATGTTTGTTTTGGAGCTCTGAAGAGAGGATTTTTATCAGGTTGTCGGAAGGTCATAGGGCTGGATGGAAGTTTTCTTAAAGGGTTGCTTAAAGGTGAATTGTTAAGTGCAGTGGGTAGAGATGGAAACAATGAAATGTATCCTATAGCATGGGCCGTAGTTGAGATAGAGAACACTGATTCATGGAGATGGTTTCTTGATTTACTAAAACATGACCTTGAAATCAGCAACACTTATCACTGGACTTTTATGAGTGATCAACAGAAGGTTGTTCTTGCATTTAGACCATTTATGTTATTTACCCTTTTGTGATGTGTTTACTGACTTGTTTTCTTTGGTTGCAGGGATTGATGAATGCCATAAAAGATTTGTTTCCCAACTCTGAGCAGAGGAACTGTTGCAGGCATATACATGCCAATTGGAGTAAAAGGCATAGGGGTCATGTGATGAAGAAGCATTTTTGGGCTTGTGCAAGGTCCACCACTGAAGCACAGTTCCAGGAACAAGTTAGTGCTCTTGCCAAGATCAATTCACAAGCAAAGGCAGATTTAGAAGTGTATGATACTCATCAATGGTGTAAGGCTTTCTTCAGAACAGATGTGAAGTGTGATATACTAGACAACAACTTATCAGAGGCATTTAACAATACTATTGTCAAAGCAAGGTCCAAACCAATCATCCCAATGCTAGAAGCTATCAGAATAGCGACAATGAAGAGGATTGCAAAAAAAATAGCGTTTGGAAGGAAATGGGTTGGCAACCATGGCCCTCGGATCATGAAGAAGTTAAATTCAAATACAACATTAAGTATGGGTTGGAAGGTTAGC